AATGACAAGAAGGCAATATCAAACACTTCCCCAGGTTACTGAACAGTGAGGATTTTATTCTTAAAAATACTTTCTTAGAACAAACCAAATTATTTTCTTCTCTCACGAAACATGTAAGAAGCAGACTGACATGTGCACATACACACACTCCCAAATTCAAAGAGCCCAAAGACTTGTTCATGGTTGCTAAGGAGAAATAGACTGGCTCAGATGCGCAAGAGAACAGCATGGCACATTCGCTTGCGCTGAGTCCCCATTGGCTGGGGGTCCTTCATCCAGGGTGCCTGAAATGGTACAGGTGCATGGAGCATTTAAGTGACACTATTATTTTAAAATAAAATATTGGTACTTGGTTAAAAGTAGAAAAAATGCAAATTAAAAATCTATTCTGAGCTGCCGAACATTTATTTGTTTTTAAATAGATTTCAGGATGGCTTTCTTTGATTTGCCCTCCTTGCTGAATTCCCAAAAGACAGATGTTTCTTTTTTTGATCAGCATTTTTGAGGCATAATTTACCCCATGCTAGAAGGTTCCCTGAGCCACTGTTCTTAACTTCAGACTATGGTGACCACTGATCTGCTTTTACTATTGTTCTCCTTTTATGGGATTTTATATAGATGGAATATTCTCATATGTAGCAGCTTGTGTCTGGCTTCTTTTACTTAGCATAATGCCTTGAGAATCATCCAATAGTATGCCTTTTCATTGTTTAGTAGTATTTTATGTGAAGATACACCATAATTTGCTTATTTACTCACCCATTAACGGAAACTTGAGTTGTTGCCAGTTTGGGGTTTTGGGTTTTTTTTTTTTTTGCAATTATGAAGAAAGCTAATGTAAATGTTAGCAGATAGGTCTTATGCGAACATAGATTTCCATTTGTCTAGGACATACTTAGGAACAGGGTGGCTGAGTTGTGTGTTAAATATATATTTAACTTTACAGTGGACTCCCCGACTGTTTCACAAAATGACTGTACCCTTTTGTATCCCCACTGGCCATACCCAAGGGTTCCAGGATGCAGACATCCTCACTGACATATGTGTCTTCAGTGCTTGATTCTTAGCTATTATACTCGGTGTGTACACTGTGGTTTCAATGTGCATTTCTCTAATCTAGTCACTGTGAGCATCTTTTCATCTGATCGTTTGCCATTTACATACCTTTTTTGTCAATTATCTACTCATAACTTTTGTCCAATATCTTAACCATATTATGTATCTTGTTGTTGAGTTCTAAGAGTTCTTTATATATTCTGAATGTACATTCTTGGTGAGATGAGTATTTTCCACATATTTTTCTCCCAGTTTGGCTTGCTGTTGTATTTTCTTAAATGCAAACATTCAATAAATAATCAAATAAATTTATTAAATTTATCTATAAATTTTATTATGCATTCATAAATCAAATATTTTATTTATAAAAATATATATTTTATAAATATATAATTTAAACTTATAAATATGTAAATTAAATTTATTTCAATTAAATGATAAACATTTATTTAAATGACACATTTTTAACTTTGCTTTTATTTATACTTATTGTATCCTAAGAGATCCTTGCCTAACTCAAGGTCACAAAGATTTTCCCTTGCTATGGAAGTTTTTTAATTTTGGCTCTTATATTTAGGTCAATGATCCATGTAGAATTTAATTTTTGTACATGATGGGAAGTATGGGTTGATATTTATTTATCTTGTAGATGGATATGAAATCATTCCAGCATTAACTTTTGAAAAGAATGTTCTATTCCCACTGAATTTTTTTGGTGCTTTTGTCAAAAATCAATCAACCATATAAGCATGGTTCTGCTTTTGGTGTTTACACTCTATTCCACAGATCTCCATGTCTTTTCCTACACAACAACATGCTTTCTTAATTAGTGTAGCTTTATAATAAGCATTTAAAAGGGTAGTTTAACATTGAAATAGAAATCATATATATAGGGATACAGAATTTGCTAAATGTAGCATTTCAAACCTATGGAGAAAAAATGTTTATGTCATTTTTCCCCTCTCAGAATCTTCCAATAGGTTATTAACTTGGGACAATTGAATTCAACTTGACTGATTAATTTTGACCCAGTGAACTGACTACTTTTTTTATTATCCCCTAAGTGGGCATAGGCTATTTTAATAAGAAAGCTTGGCTGGTATTATACTTAGAATCAAAGATACTGTGTTTATTTACATATGTGTGTTACATGTTACTTAAAAGGAAGGTCCTGAATGATAGGCTTCTTCCCTCACTGCTGTGAGGCATCTGAGTACAAACACAGTAATTAGAAATAAAGTCTTTAGAATCTTAAAAGAAAAGGAAAATAATACAAACAGCAAACACTGGTAGTGGTAGTGTGGTGATAACAAACTATATTCAAGAACACACAGGTTTCCATCATTAAAATACTATTTCAAAAACCACAATTGTTTATAGCCTTCATTTGTAGAAAAGCCTGGGCCATAAGAGAAGTAAGTAATTTATATTTGTGTAATCTCATGTTCTTGTGTAATTGATGGCTGGGACGTCAGTGAGTGTGTCCCTGCTCTTTTAACAGGCCTGGGTTTGCACACACATGTCTGGAGAAGCAACTCTGCCTGTCCCTGCCGGTGTTAGCAACTCTGAATTTTACTTCTTTAGTGTTTGGCCCAAGATGGCACCCAGATATTTCATTATGTTTCCTTAGAAGCTTGCTTTTACTAAGAACTGGCTAAGCTTCATCCCCAAGTATAGTTATGAGAGTATGAAATAGACTATAATTCTAGAAGATGGCAACATTAGAAGAAAATTTTACCCTGCTTTCATTTGCCCTACCCCATCTGAATGGGCGTTACTGAAAGTTAATCACAGCTCCCTCAGATGTTAGGGCCTTTAACGTACAGTTTACCTAAACTTACGGTTTTATTATTTTTTGCCTTTTTTTCTTACTTCCAAATCATTTATTTTTTTCTCTTCATTCCTTTCCTCTGTTACTCCTTCCTGCTTATCCTGAAAACAGATATATGTGGCTCTCTAAACTGCTTTAAATTCTATACTTACCATCACCTTTTATATCTCCATATTTTAGTTTCATGCTCTTCCTTTTGCCTAGAAAATTTTCACTATCTAGTTTTCCTGAATAACTTGTATATATTCTTCAAGGTCCAGCTCTGATGCAATCAAATGAACTAATTTGTGTCAAGCTGTATGTCCAACTTATATACAAATATTTGTTAATGATTGAATACAAGCATAAATGAAGCAAGTCTTTCCTAATTTTTCTCCTTCCAGTGTCTTCATTACAGCTCAAGAACAAGAGCCCTATCTTAGGTTACTAATATTTCACAAATATCAGTAGGAGCTCCAGGGACTGCCTTTGCCTCTCTGGATTAGAGTCTGGCTCTACCTTCTAAATAGTTATGCAAATTTGTTTTCTGTTTTTTTTTTTTTTTGTGGCTGAGTATCTTTATCCCTGCAACTATAATCATAGTACTATCTCTTCCATAAGAGTACTGTAAGGATCGATAAAATAATACATAAAGTGCCTAAGACACACCTAAGCACTCCAAAACAGTAGCTATTATTATGAACTGAAGCTTATTTTTTTACAGCACATTAACTGATTTCTAACTCTACAATTCAATTGTCCCCTCACATCTCTTAAAATATTAAACATTTTATTTTATCACAAGAAAGACTGCCCTAACATGAAAGAATGTGAAAATTATGTTTTTTATTATATTCACATAAAATAGTTACACCAAGTTGTCCAAATGCATTGGTGAATTTAAGACTCCAACTCTTACAAATTTTTATACATATATCTATGCATTTATAAATACGCACATATGTAAAAGATATATATTTCCTTCTAAAATAAAGTGCCCAAATCTTGATACATAAGGGCATAATAAGGAAAAAAGAATCACAAAGTTTTATCAGTTACAGACTGTATTTTCACAATATAAGAATCTGTTTTATACACATTTATTCAGGTATAGTGAAATTTAATCACCCATTTTTTTCTGAATTCTCCTAAATAAAAGAATTTATTCAAAGTACATGGTGGGGCAAAAGTAGGTTAACAGTTATGAGTATGTGAAACAGAGTTTATTCTTGTAGTATTATTTCCTAATTATTGTATTATTTTCCATATGAACAGCTGTAAACTTACTTTTGCCCTACTCTGTATTAGATGTCATGTAACCAACTTAATGAGTCAGAGGCCATTTTTTCTTACTGCATCTAGCATAGAGCCTTGGCTCCCCAACAGAATCGTTTAGCTTCATTCTTAGTTTTCCTGCTTTCTGGATTGTTGTCTTTCTGTTAAGGTAGTACGCAGAGAGAGAAATGAAGCAGACGTCTCTCATTCTAGGTTCTCTGTTAGCTTTAATGAAGTCAGAGTTTGGTGAAAAGATTTCTAGTGTCTTTACATCACCCGGGCCTTGTCGAGATAGGGACTCACGGGGTCTGAATTGAGTGGTTCTGCAGCCTCTTTATAAGGAAATATTGTTGGAGCTGCAGGAGGAGAACCAGGGTGTGATGGTCCATAGATCACTGAGAGAACCACCTCCAATAGAAATGGAACTCTTACTCATACCGGGAAACTTTGTGAGAATGAGGTTTGAATTTAAGGACAAAATAAGGGGTAAAGGAAAACTAGATAATTTACAATAATTCAGAAAAATCTATTCCCTGCTCCAATATTTCAGCTACTGTTCCTGCATTTTTACTGTATTTTCTATTATGTTAGACTTTTAAGGTGTTTGACAAGAAATAAAATTTGAAAATGCCTTTGAAAAGAATTCAATCTACTGAAGCAAAGTGAAAATGCCTAAAAATAGCTTAATATGAACCCAGCTATTTCAGAATCTCTGATGATTACATGTTCACACTGCAATAAAGCACATTTTATTCAAGCAGAAAAGGGAGGAATTGCCAGCACTGTATTGCATAAAACACTGTAACTTCTCAACATACAAGAGGCTGGGAAAAAGGGGAAACCCAGACATTTCCCAGAGTCAGAACAAAGAATGGTATATTTTCTTTTATTTGGGGGGAGCAAAAGGGGAGAAGGGCATGAAAGTGTTTCCAATCACCTGACCCACCTCAGTAGGGCCTTCACAAGAACAGAGCTGCCTAACTACTGATTTTGGTGAGCATCTTGTTAATGGCTTGCTTGACGTGTGTGGTGGAGCTGCGTCGCCTGGTCTTGCCCTGGACCATCCTCCGGCGACGCACCTCTCGACAAAGCTCGTAGAATATCTCTGTGATGTTCCCTTCTCCAGTGCAGGCAGAACACTCGTAAAAAGCACAGGCCAATTCTGTGGCCAACTTCTCCCCTTCTTCTGTACTAACCTGTCTGGAGTGGTCCAAGTCAGCTTTGTTTCCAACCAAGATGAAAGTCACATTCTTGGGCTTTTTGATCTCATCCAGAATGTTTTTAAGTGGCAGCATTTCCTCAAAACTTCCTCGGTCAGTAATGTCATAGACCAGCACAAAGCCTTCCCCCCATCGCATGTGTCCTTCCCTCTGGATAGTGTCTTCCTGGTGGCAAGAAAAAAAACAGCAGTCAGGAGACCTGGATAATCCCAGTGTGTAGATGCTGCTGCTGTTAATGGTGATCCCTTAATTACTGTTCCTGCTACTCAGTGCCATTAAATTTTCTTGATATTCTGTCTGGACAAGCTTACCCTCTCAGTCACTGTGGAAGAGCAGCATTACTGACTCATAGCAAGGTATTTCAGGGAACTAAAAGTTTTCTATCTGCATAGACCTTAACTTTCTGTTTCTAATTTTGCATGCCACATCATTAAATCTTTAATCGCAAGAACCACACAGAAAATATCATCTTAGTTGAGCACATTGCCTCTGAGATTTTTCATCACAATTGACGGACTAACAAACAGATAACAGAGTAGACCTTACCTTACCCCCTACAGATCAGAATTAGAGGCATGGCGTAATGACCTGGTTTTGATTTTGTTTGTTTGTTTTTTGTTTTATTTCTTCGTTCTTCAGATTATAGACAATTAGCCACCAGGGACAGAAATGCTGTATAATTGTACACAGAGTCAAACTCACAGCCAGGGTCATTTGCCCCCTGCTATCTCAATGTTCCCGAAATATTATGCAGTCCCCGTAATGACAGAAACTCATTTGAAGTGATTTTCAAAGGCAGGGATCACTCCTTCCTAGGAAGGCACATGTGTGGTTTGGAACTGCATTGCCTTCACAGGCTCCAGTGCCTTCTGCGGGCATGTGTTTCCCTGCTGCCCATCTCTAGAATCGTTCTCGTAGAAGGTGGGAGCACGTATAGGGAAGAGGTGGTGATGAGAAAGAAAAGTCTATAATTAGTTACAAGAATATTTCTTGGATTAAATACTTTAATTCATGTCTTCTTGGGGTCATAGTCACTGACAAGCACCACAGAATTCGTCAGCCTTTATATTCTCATTCCTAGTGGTCATTCCTGTCTTTGGGAGCTAAACCTATCTATGAACCTGTTTGTCATCTCAGCACTGACTGACCTCAAAGTACATTTATATCACTTTCCTTTTAAATGGATCATTATTGTTCAATGATATGGCCCAAATTTTCAATAGGGTGTGCTGAGATGTAGAATGGATACTACAGGAAATATTCCTAAAGTGAAATATTCTTAAAAAATTCTGAAGTCACATAAATTTGGAATACAATATACACTAAATGCCTTAAGGATTCACCTTACACTTAAGCATAATAAAGGCTCTGAGAACTTCCCTAGTAAAGATATCTGCTTACCTTTACCAGAGCATTTCCAAAACACTTTTAACCATTAAAATATACTACTCTCTCACAATCTCCCCAAAATCTAGGTGAGCAATGTGAATGTTATGGTATTTTCAAAACCTCCCTGAAGTACTGGGTAATTTACACAGGGTGCATACGCAGGCTTTGGGAAAGATATTAACATCTAAATACTTAGACAATGAACAAAAAGTCTTTACACAATATGAGTTAATTGTAAGAAAGCGTCTTTTGTTCATATTATGCACATCTCATTTTTATGTGATGAAGAAAATATTTTAGCAGAACTCCTTAATCACCTGACCAGCAGTATCTAGGATCTCCATGGTGACAACTTCATCATCGATGGTTGCTTGGTGGCGGTAAGTTGATTCTGAGGGAATGAGCAAAAAAAGAATAGAAAAAGGTAACTAAGACCATAGTTTGAGTTGATTCTTAAAATTACAAATTAGTCACAGGAGTATGTCTGTCCTGTAACCTAAGGGAATGTGCACACTAGGCAGGAAAGGGTGGGTGTGCAAGAATGTGCCATCCTTGTATTCTCAGAGCTCCTGGAAGTAACAAGTAACGGACTTCCAGGGTATAGCATCTGAGAGTCTCCTTGCCTCCTGCTCATTTTAGTCTCCCATAAGGTCAGCTTCCTGATGCTCTCTTCTTTCTAAACTGAGGCCTCCAGCCTGGCTGATGTTACTCAGTGGACTGAGTGCCAGCCTGTAAACCAAAGGTTCACTGGTTCGATTCCCAGTCTAGGGCACATGCCTGGGTTGTGGGCCAGGTCCCCAGTAAGGTGTGTGCAAGAGGTAACCACACAATGATGTTTCTCTCCCTTTCTCTGTACCTTCCCCTCTCTAAAAATAAATAAAATTCTAAAAAAAAATAATAAAATGAGGCCTTCACATTCTAAAATGAGAAAGTTTTTCCTACCAAATGCATCCTACTTTGATACTAAAAATCCAATTTTGGGAAATCACTGCTAATTACTATTCCTGACAAGATGACATCTAAGCAGGAGCTGCTAATTTCTTTCCAGACCCCAAACCTAGAAATGTAATAGGCACGAGAAAAAGGTGATCATTATCCATGTAAACCTATGAGAATCCCCTGTGACAGTGGAAGGTGGTTGGGCCCTGGTGTTTGGGAACTGGGAGAAAAGTAGAGGAGGGCCGGGCAGCCTGGAGGGAGACGGAGGGAGCAGAGCTCTCTTGCTCATGCTGCCTCTTCAGGGTAGAGAAATGATGGCAGCTCAGCACCAGCTGGAGAGTGACCCCAAGCTCTACTAGGGGAGAAGTTAGCAGGTGCAAGAAGTTAGCAGGTGCAAGAGCTCTGAATGTGCCCCTCAGCACAGGAAATGGAAACAAGAGGTTAAAATAGGCACCAGCTGGTGGTCCTCCATATGAAAACTGGAGCGGTTGAAATGAAGAACTCAGCAAATGACTGACTGAGTTGATGAAGTTCAGGTTGAGGAACTCTCCCAAAAGATATCAGGAAATGATAAGAAGAAACATGTAAAAGTAAAATAAAAGAGCTATAGATAAAAGAAATAGACATGTTATTTTTTCTCTTATAATATAAGCCTCAAAGAGAGAATTAAGTACATAGAGGCATGAAAACAGCCGAGGTTGTAATGATGGAGAGATTCCCAGAAAACAAGGTACGGAAAAACTTCAGAACGAAAGGACTAATAGGATACACAAGGAAAGAAGTCCCATATCTCCACCCATTACAACCCTAATGTAAGGATATGAATGACAAAGAGGAAAATTTACAAGGAGGTAGAGAAAAAAAAGTACATCATCTACAAAAGGACACGATTCAGATTGACACTGGATTTTTCACCAGCAAAACCAAGTTCAAGATTCCAATGGAGTAAAACGACATCGAAAGCAGTCCAGAAGTACAATTCTAGGTAGTTCTAGGGGGTGGGAGAAGAAACCAGAGGCAGGTTTCAATGAACTCATCTTATTTTGGGAGATCGAGATGATAAAAAGAAAGAAGAGAAAAAAAGAGAGCTAAGTATTAACTAATTGGAAAAGGAAAGCAGAATAAATTCAAGTAAGGAAATAAAAGAGAAAACAGAGGGGGGAAGATCAATTTAGCAAAACCAAAGCATGGTGCTTAAAAAATTTAAAAAATAAAAGGGGAAGAGAGGTAAAAATCTGGCATTTCTATCCAGTAAATTAAGAAAGAGGCTGTCATCACACAAAATTTAGTACAGAAAGAGGAAATAGCTAAATATTCTGATGAAATAAAATAATATTGTGAACTGTATACCAACAAATGTCAAAACCTGATAAATTCTGAAAGAAAAAAAATGCATAGATTGTAGCAATAAGAAAGAGAACATTTAACTAAATCATATTCAATTTAAATACTAATTGTAGAATCTCTCCTAATCATAAAAAGTGATTGCCTCCAATTGGCTTTAGAGAAGTTTCTATTAAACATTAAACACACTCTGGAAAATATAAAAAGGACAGCTACTCAATTCCTTTCATGGGACATTATGCTGACTCTCATAAGAAATATTATAAGAGACAAAAAAGAAAATCATAGGTTCATTTCATTTTTAAACATAGATTCAAAAATTCTAAATAAAATATTATTCAGTTGAATCCAACAGTTATCATAAGAAAAGTACATTATGATCAAGTAGAGTTTATCTCAGAAATGCAGTGTTTAACATCTATCAATGCAATTTAACACATTAAAGGTGAAAGGGAAAAACTTACATAATGACCTTTGTAGATGGACTTATAGCAAGATAAAATTCACATAAACTTAAAATGGGACTTAAAATGGGATTTTGTGTATGTATGCATACACAAAAAATACTTCCTACAAAAGTAAAAGTTAGCACATACTGCTTACCACTTGAACAAGAATTGTTCTAAATGCTTTGTACAGATTAACTTAATTCTTACAAATACCGCATAAAATACGTATTAGCATTAAATCCACTTTAAAAGAGGAAACTGAGGCACAAAGGCATTAAATAACTTGCTGAAGGTCACACAGTGATAAGTGGTAGAAATGAGATTGGAACCCAGGAAGACTGGTTTCGGAAATTTAGGCTTTTAGCCACTATGCTAAGTTTCAAACACACTAGACCATATACCTACTGGGAGGAGAGCAACGGTGTCAGAATAGGGGATGTGAGAAAAATAAAGTGAAATAAAGGCTTCACATACATATGACACCGTGACAGGACCAGAGCAGCATGGTTAACTTAAGTGTTAATTTAGATGCTCAACGGTTGGCGTCTAAACTACCCAAATCACTAACCAATCAACAAACCAACTAAACCCACAGGTTTCTGTCTCACCGGGGTAGCTGTCGAAGCCAGTGCTTTTCAGTTTTTCCCTATTTATGTCATGTTTCTGACCTTCATTTCTTCATATCATCAACTACCTTGCAGTTCTTTTCTGAATACAGTGTTATGTTACTTTGCTGGAAATATAACCTACTCCAAACACGCATGGCAGCAAGGAGGGTTAATAAGCAGCATAACCTGCCCTCAGCCCACACACTGATTACCGTCCCAGGCATGGGGCATTGCTGACGTATTCCCTGAAAATTAAAATGTAAAAACGAGAGTACATTCAATATATTTTGAGAAGGGCTTTTTACATTACTGTCATTCTCCTAGAATAGGTGATCCATACGTGGCATGCCCGATTCTCAATTCTAGAACATTCCATGCCTCTACCCTAAGTTAAATGGGTGATTATTCTTTTGTATAACTTAACGCTCTAAAACACCATTCACAGCAATGAGTCATCTATTTATTTCTTTTTTCATCTTCAGAGTTTCAGCTTGCAGAGGAGCGGTCCCAAGGGCAGCACGCGCACTAGAATCCACGCCCTTCTGGTTTTTCCTCTACTGTCTGCAGTGATCTTTGTGCCGCTTTTCCTTTTAAAAGGTCTGGCATCAGCTCCAAGCCTGGGAAACAGAGTTCTGGGCTCTATTCCATCTGGGCCCCAAAAGTCTGACAGACAGGGACATTTTTCTCTGCTGCTTCCACGATAAATAGATGTATTTCAACCACAGAAGACCACAGTAGGGGGAAATAGAATGCAATAAAAATTGTGTGAAGTTGTGTGATTCTCTGGCTGCTTGTTAGCTGCAATGAAAACGATGACATGCAGGAAATGAGGGAATGTCTGCCACCGACATAGCCGCGGGTGGCCGCGGTCTTTCATCTGAGCCGAGGACTGGTTTCGTGCATTTTGAGCACTTTTTGAGTCTCTTCTCTCCGGCATTGGGAACTCGCCCCCTGCCTACATGTAGAACCCGGCAAGTGTTGCCCAGAGAGGCCAAAGGTCGCACATCTCTGTGCTAGCTGTTCTAAAGATAATTCTAAAAACTGTACTGGGTACTTTGTGGAACTAACCTTTACTACTCATTTTAGAACATTGAAGAAAATATGTGTGTGCTTGCAGGGTAGAAACATTTCACTTTGCTCATTCTAACAGAAAATGGTCATGTCGAATCTTTTCATGAAGGGTAGGAGGATGATTAATTAAAGAGGTATTTCTAAATAAAACCAAAATGTATAGTATAAGAACAATATTAGTTTTCATATGGAATTAAGCATTTTAAAATTATGTCTGGATCACACTGTATATGAGAGAGACACGGTTGAAGACCTGCATTCAGTAACATTTTTATAAATAGAAGTACATTTCGTATGCTCTAAGAGAAATGGATGCTCAAAAGGATGTTGTATATGGTTGATCTTTTCAATAATTTAGCTTTTTTGGTAAGTTTTAACATATTAATATGGACAGTTGGCCAATACAGTAACAGCGGTAGTTAATAACGTTGATTTGTGCTAGAGTGGAAATTGTACTGACTTGAGTTCTATTGCTGGTCTAACCACAAACTAGCCACATAACTGTGGATAAATTTACTTGGTTAGACTTGTTTTCTTATGCCAAATGCCGACCTCAAAGTTCCTTTCTGTGCCAAGATTAAAAGTACCAATATTAAAGAACTATCCAATAGTTCTTTGAATTGGTTAAGTACTTCTGCTTTAGTGTTTTGTTCAGAGATTTGTTCTGGGTGTGTGCGTCTGCCTGAATGAAACTTTCCAAGCAAAGGGAACTGTATGGAATGCAGGCAGGAAGAACCAATCACAAAACAAAATCACTGTTGTGTCCCGTATGTCTCCCAGTTCGTACCCTCATTCTTGTCTCAATCTTTACTAAGAAGATTTGAGTGGATGCCATGACCCATTCAAATACAGAGCAGGGTGCACCATGGGATAGAAGTAATGGTCAGCGAAGAAATGCAATCTCTCCCTCTAAATGCTCCCAACACACACACAAAATTGCACATGATCCAAGCTTTTGTCTGTATTCTCTGCCATATTCAGCATTTTCCAAGGGTAATATGACTCTTGGAGAGATTCATTTCTCTTCTGGGACCTAAGCAGAACACGGATCCTATTGTTTTACAACTAGAACATTGTTGCTACCACCATCAAGGGGTTTTCCTGGTTGGATGATCTAGGTTTTCCTGGTTGGATGATCCTGGTAGGCTGCAGTGGAGATTTTCAGATGCTACGCACATGCACAAGGGCTGGGCTCTGACAAAGCTTCCACTGACCCACAGTGAGAGAGAAAAGTTCAAGGCAAACTATAACTGTTCAATGTAAATAAGTGACCAAACATTTCCCCCAGATCATTATATCCTTCAAAACTCAAATGTTACAAATACTTCCTTCTTTTATGAAATACAAACACCTCTAAAGGGAGTAAGTTTAGTTCTTCTTTACCCTCTGCCCTTTGCTTACATCTCTAATTGTAATGCCTATGATATTCCCACTCCATTAAAAATAAAAAAACAAACACCAATATAAAAGCAAAAACAAAAACAAAATCATTGGATCCTGAAACCTAAAAGCTTGGAAATCACTTGCTACTATAATAGCAAATATTTCCTTCATAGAATTATTTCAGAGCAGTTAATATTCAAGTTTTTGTTAATATGTTGAATGGTGTTCATGGTCTTCAGCTTCTCATGGAGCATTAAATAATTGTGTTACAGGCTGAAAAACTGACCTGTATTTCTAAGGAAGGCACTGAATTGAGAATTCAAGACTATGGGTTGTTTTTTTTTTTTTTGCAAATATTCCACATTGCTCTTTTAAAATTTTATTTTTCAGTTACAGTTGACATTTCATATTGTTTTATATCAGTTTCAGGCATACAACACAGTGGTTAGACAATTATATAATTTAGAAATGATCCCCCTGATAATTCAAGTACCCACCTTTTCTTTTTAATGTAACCTTCCCTTTTGGTGGTGGGTTCGAAACTCTAAGACAGTACAAAGTTGAGTCCAGGAAATGCCTACTACTCTTGGGTCAAATGGACAGGGAACGCCTCTGGGCTAGAACATCAGTGACTCACACACGGGCGCAAACAAAGCCACTTTCCAGCAGGAGTTAATGAAACCCTCACCTGGGAGTGAGTCATAGCCCTGATATTCCCGAAGTCTGATCAGCGCTCTTGTTGCTTAGCAGCTGCAATCCTTTCAGAGCAGTACAAGGTCACTCAATAGAGTTTCATTACGCTTAGTCAAGGAAGCCTGCGTTACAGATACTGACGCAGGCAGAATCCTATTAATAGCAGTGGTTTCTCAGAATGAATAAAACAAAAACAAAAGGGAAAATGGTTCACCTAAGACATTCAAAATAATAACACTCGTTACTGGAATATATTCAGAAAGAGTTTAAAATGTTATGAGATCATTTTTATAAGTTTCCTCTTTTGTTCAGGTGTACTTGTAGAACTAAACAAAATTAGTATTTTTCTACTGAACTCCCCTAAATCATTAAGAGTCTCAGGAACTTTGTAAAGGGTGTATAGGTAATAAAAATATAAGAGGAGAGTAAATGTTTACTTAGGTGGAACAAGCAATAGATAATGATTGATTTTTTTAAATCTAATACATTTTTAGATCCAAATACATCATCTTAAGATTAGATTCTGGCTATATTAAGAACATGTTAAAAGCAATAGATGTTGAAAAACAATTTACTTAAAAGCGAAAACAAAGAGGTGAAGATCTCTTAAAAGATTGAGTATCATAAAGATGTGAATTTTCTCAATGTATAGTATTAATGCAATTTCAATCAAAATTATATCATGTTATGACTTAGTTTAAAAAATTGACCCACAAGAATGAACTGGTGAAGTAGCGGAGATCACTTTGTAAAAAAGTGAAGAAGGAAGACTTTCTCTACTGGTGTTAATGTATTTTAAAGAGCACAGCATTATCAAGCACGTGCTGCTGGTTTGGGGGCATCCAATACACCTGTATCTACAGATCCTATACCCATGGGTTCAACCAACCCAAGATTCGATCACAAACACTTGGGAAAAAAGTATTTTTTTAAGTAGTATGTGTTGCTAACGTGACGGGGTGGTTAGGCCTATGATGGTTGTGTGTGTACTGAACATGCACAGTTTTTTCCTTGTCATTATTCTCTATACAATACAGTGTAACAAGAATTAACACTGTATTAGTATTATAAGTAACCCAGAGATAGAGTATATGGGAGGATGTCTGTAGGTTGTATGCAAATGCTCCATTATTTTATAGAAGAGAACCAACCCCTCGTGGACACCAAGGAGGACTGATTGTGTAAAAGGCAGATTGTATGTTGGAAGTAGTGGGGAAGGTGGGGACTATGTAGTAAATAATAGGAAATAATTGGTCAACTATTTGGGAGAAATGTTAGGTCTTCACCTTATTCTTCTCACTAAAATATATGCCAGACAGACTAAAATATTAAAATTAAATAAACAATAAAATCACTCTATTCCCTTAACTGTTGAATTTTTCTTCATAGTATTTATCACTATTTTTTCATTTTAACATTTTTATTTATTTTTAAACACTTTTATTGTTGTTCAAATACACTTTTTTGCCTTTTCCCCTCACAACTCCCCGCCACCCTAGTTCTCCCCACTTTCTTCCTGTTTCAAACCGTCACTGTTATTGTCCTTGTGTCCTTTATAATTGTTCCTGTAAACCCTTCACCCTTTCCCCCCATTGTGCCCTATTACTTATCCATATTGACATACATTTATTTGTTTATTGACTCTTCTTTGTTTACCAGACAATAGCTAAAAACCCAAACAAAAAAAAAGCCAAAACCCAGGGGCTTTCTCTTTCTGTCTATTGATTTATCTTCAGCACCTAGAAAAATTTGCCACATAGGGTCATTTAACAAACATCTTGTTGAATGAATGAGTAAAGCAATGAAAGAAGGCAAAAGAGAAAAAACTTTCCTTTTAAACTGACCATACATAACAACAACAACCAAAAAATAACCCACCAGAAAACCCAGTCCCCAAACAAAAACATCCAGGGATCATCTCTGCCCACTTCAGCACTCTGAGGAAGGCCAGCTCGTCCGGGGACACCGCGCCTGGGAGGGAACTAATATACATCGTTCCCTCCTCTTCTGGATGTCAAAGTTGCCGCCCTTTAGGATACCAACTGTGGTCTGGAGCGTAGCAAACAAAAGCTCAAAAACTTCACTCATAGTAAAGTCTGAAGCTTAACTTAGAGCCCATGAAGTTTTAGCATTACTTTGAAGAGAACTAAAAATATTTCTAATAAATACTCTGCCTTGAACTATGAAAAATACATGTGATAAACACTTTCTATATGAACATTATTACTATTTTCAAAATACATATATCAATTTTGGCTGCTCCTTTTGTACTTTTTAAGTAGGCTGAAGACAGCCCTGTCTGGTGTGCCTCAGTGCTGGCCTGCGAACTAAGAAATCACAGGTTGGATTCCCAGTCAGGGCACAGCCTGGGTTACAGGCCAGGGCCCCTGGGGGCGTGCAACAGGCCCGTGATCAAAATGTCTCTAACACATTGATGTTTCTCTTTCTCTCTTTCTCCCATCGTACACCCTCTCTAAAAATAAATAAATAAAATCTAAAAAAATAAGCTTAAGACAGATTCATTGGAGATAAGAGGGGAAGGAACTCAATTTATTTATACATTTCCCCCAAATCAGTATTCACAAGTTTTATTTACTGTTCCACTCTCCCCAGCATACCGTTTTATCCCACATAGGACTGGCCATGGCCACTGTATCGTCTGTCTACCACTGGAATGTTGCTACCTTTGTCAGTGGAAAACCATCATTTATAGCTACTTTCTTCTTATCTCTGGTTGGGCCCGATTTCTTCCCCTCTGCATTAAAATCCATGTAACACACGTCTAGCTTCTTAGGGGACATCTTTGCATGATTCAGTAAAGCACTTCCAAGACATTTGAAAGGCACTTAAAAATCTTGCAACAGAAAATGTCATTCTCTCTTTTGATCCATAAACTTTGATTGGATAGTAGGAGGAAAAAAAATTTGACCTACCGAGAGTGGGATCATATTCCCAGATGAACCGTTTGGTCAGAAATCTCACTACAAGAGCTGTGGGAAAAAAGAGCAATATTTCAAACAAATTTGTTCATTTTCTTATAGTTTTTATCCTTGTAAGGAAGGAGAAATAGCCCATCAAACTACATGTGTTTTATATTTCCTTGAAATAGGAACCCAGTACATTTATTTATATTTATTCAGATACATGTTTTCAATTTTATACAGTGGCTTAAAAAACCAGTGTAACATTTTACAGGGTTTATTGTGCATTAATCAACAGCTTAGATTTGTTCCTTTAGTCACAAAGGTAAAAATAAACAAATAAAAAACATCACAATGTGAAAACTCTCAGATACAAAAATTTTAGCCAAACAAGAATTCATGAATCATGAATCATCCAATACACGTGTCTAAGATTTGAATATTAATAATGATTGATAAAGGTAAGTTTAAAATGCGATGTAATTTTTCCTGTAATGAAAAGAGCACTAACTGGTTAATAATAGTATAAAAATTTTCCAAATTAAGGATTGTATTAGTGATTCATTAAAGCTCATCAAAAGTAATGCTGCTGAAATACTCGAAGTCAGGCTCAAGGTCTGGAACCATGCTAAGCACTTCACTTGCATGATCCCCTCAACCCTCACTAGCTCCCTGGGAGGCAGGTGCTAGGATTGGTCCCATTTTTGGATAAGAAAACCGAGGCTTTGAGAGGTTAACTAATTTACTTGAGGTCACCTAGTTAGTGGCTGAGTCAGGATTTTCATCCACGAAGTCTCTTTCCAAAGCCTGTAATTTATCCTTTGTGCTCAACTGAATGGAAGGCCTAGACCGTCTGGATAACATTTAACTAGAAGATGGGTCAAGGAAAGAGAAGCACCGAGGTATATGGACTCTATTGTCCTTGAAAGTGGATGGGAAACATGCTGGACATTTGAAGAAAATATTTGTATTGTAGTTGAAAACAGTGGTGTCTTTAAGAAATTTTTTTTGGAAGGGAATGTCATAAACACTTTAAAAATGCAATGAAAGCTTTAGGCCCTTTCTCAGGAGAAACCGGTACACACGCAGTTTGGCACACAATTTCAGTGGGCTTGTGAGCCCTCTGAAAACTCTGGGTGGTCTTCCTGGGGTCCCACTGACCCTGACTAGAGAATCCATGTCTGTCGTATTTTATACTATAAAATATACTTGTCACTTGGGTATTTTTATTTTTACGGAAATGCCCTGTATGTAGCAGTCTAAAGATTCTCCTTAAAGAAATGAGACTAGTTAGTTGAAAGCTCCTGTCAGCCTTTACCTGTTGCCTGTGTTAGAGTCACCAGAGGTCTACATACCGACTATCATAGTGCCTTAGATGAGAGGTCCCAGTGGAACTTGCAGTCGGAACCTGGTAAGACAGACCACAAGCATATGGCGGCTTGGCCAGAGACTAAAAGCAGCAATGTTGTTTCTAATTACAGAGTGTAAGGCTGGATTGGAGCCAAAATTTTTGCAGTGCCTGAAGTAGCAGGCCACTGACCCCACGATGCTTCCCACAGTGAGCCCTGTGGTTTTATCTTCAGTTTTTGGAGTCTATCACTGCTGGCTTTTTTGAGACTGAGCCTTCTTTGTTTTTTTGCCTTAAAAAATAGTAAGCACCAGACAAATATTCTTGTGTTTTTATCTTTTTAATTTTTCCCAACTGTTGAAGAAGTGTTTATGTTTTTTAAAGGATGGTTTGAATGTCAAACAGAGATCTCATTTATAGCTTATTGGATAGGTCTAAGAGAGTGAAATAAACAGTCTTATTTAAAAATGTCAGTATTTATGAGATATCAAAAATTTTACTCTCCTTGTAGTTAAATTCACAAGGAAAAAATTAGATATAAATTAAAAAATATGCAAGAGGTCACATAGGTTTGCAAAATGTTTTTAGGAAATATGCAAGCAAAAAAATAAAATAAAGACTGATTAACTAGCCCTATTACTAATTTTTTTTTAAGTCGAATTGAGTGGGGTGACGCTGGTTTTCAAAAACATCTAGATTTCAAGTGTACAATTCAATAAAACATCATCTGCACACTGCGTCGTGCCCCCATCTTCTTCTCCCTATTCCCTGCCCTTTGTCCACCTCCACTACCCTCACCCCCGTCCCTCTGGCTAAGCCCACACTGTTGCCTGTGTCTATGGGTTATGTGTATATGCTTTATGTAGCTTGGTGGTAGAGCACTTGCTTTGCATGTAGGAAGCCCAGGGTGCATTCCCTGGCATCTCCACAAGGGTCCTTCTTCTGTTTTTAAATCAGCAGCATCAGGAAACATAACTGCCTGCAGGATTCAAAGAGTTTCATCTTTTTTTAGAAAACGTAGTGTTTTCTGTACCTTCTCCCCCCTTCTCCTTCTCCCACTCCCCTGTTGCTAGTCCTCCATGTGATCTTCATTTCTATGGTTTGCTCCTGATCTAGCTGTCCTCTTAGTTTGCTTTTGTTTTAGGTGTGGTTCTTAATAACTGTGAGTTTGCTGTCCTTTCACTGTTCATCTTTTTTATCTTCTTTTTCTTAGGTAAGTCCCTTTAACATTTCATATAATGAGGGCTTGGTGATGATGAACTTCTTGAATTTGATCTTATCTGAGAAGCACTTTATCTGTCCTTCCATTCTAAATGAGAGTTTTGCTGGATAGATCAATCTTGGTTGTCTAAAGAACTTGAGACACGTGGTCATAAACTAAAGGGGGGGGGAATGGTGGGGGAGGGGGTGTGCAGGGTTGAGGGAAATGAAGGCGAAAATAGAACGACTGTAATGGCATAATCAATAAAATATTTTTTTTTAAAATGAAAAAAAAGAAAACATAGTGCTAACTCTACAGGTTACAACCTAGAAAAGTGCATTTATCTGGCATCTTTCAGAAATGCACTATTAAAATTAACAAAGGTTTCTACATAACTAATATTGGAAGTACTCCAGTTGCAAGACCATTAAACCTTGAATCATTTCTCAAAGGAAAGTTTCTAAAATGTATTGGACACTCCATTGCCTTTCACAACTAAAAATGCTGCACGTGATTGAACCCTTTTAAAATGTCTGGATCTCGGTGAGGAGCCTCAAGCAGTGAGGGGGTGCCCGGTGCAGTCTGTGGCAGTGCATCCGGAGCTGTAGAGCGGTTGAAGCAAAATGACTCTAGAGTGCTAGGGCTCTGAGTATTTTTAGATTTTGAATATATATATTTAACACACACATAAATGTGATCTTTGCCTCCCTCAAATACTATGGCTTTCTCTTTTTTGCCACAGTCACTGAGACTATCTCTAATAACCTATCTATTCATCTACTTCATTACTTTAATTATTCTGAAGACTGATAAGCCATATCAAGAAGCTTGTTAGAGTTTTGTCTAATAATGGAGTAAATTAAATTAGTTCTGGGGTTTCATTTTAAGGAACCTGTTCTGTTGATATGAACCTGATTCTGCTGTACCTTTGAGACAGAACATTTGTTGTTGACAAGTGGTTCCTGCTGTCTCCTTGGGTTTTGGCTCAGCTTATGCGGCCCCCTTTTGGCGGGGCAGTGTTGGTGGGCGTAACCAGTGGAGGCAATATAAACATTTTTTATGTTCTTTGTAGAGAGAGCCACATTATTCTCTGATGGTTGCTTTAACAATAGAATCATACACTTGTTTAAAAACCCAGTCTCTTTCAAGCGCATTAAAAAACATAAAAACTACTTTGAAAAATCAACACGTCACATGTGTTTTCTTTGAAAATGTGTTTTCATCTCTCTCATAGATTACTCATGGAGAAGACAAACATGTTTTCTATTTTTAGTTTTTCAATATTTTATTTTAAATTATTACTCTAAGGATTGCAAATAATTTTCCATCTGGGGATGTGATATCTGTTAAAGGCTCTGTTGTTACATAAATGGTGACTGAGGTACATGGGTGACATTTCACCATCTACTGATGTAATTATAAAATGTCACCAGTATTTTCTAGCCCCCGATTTTATTATAATTTTATTATGGCATACTATTTTCATACGTGATATACCCTACCACTCCTCACCCCCCCATTTCCACTCTCACCACACCCCCCTGTTAACAGTAATGCACTCAGTCCTTCAGCGGTGTCCCTACTTCAACTGCACCCCAGAATCCCCTTAAACTCCTCTCCACACGGCATCCAATGACTGCTAAACTAAACCATCTCATGTCACATCTTTGTCCCAAGTTCTCCCTCACCTTATCTCACTGGATAAATATTTATTGAGTATCTGCTCTGTTCTGTTCTAGGTGATCAGACTAACCCAGCAAACAATTCAGATTAGGATCCCTGACTTTACAGAGTTTATATCCTACTAGGAGAAGACAACCAAACAAAAATGGTAACTTGTATAGTACAATAGATCAGAGGAGAAATGTGCTGTGGGGTTAAAGTATAGAGCAGGGTAAGGGGGATTCAGCACTGGGGGATGAAGATGTGAGTTGTTAAGACTGAGTGACCAGGGCAGACCTCACTACAAAGGTGATGTAAAAACGAGATGCAGGAAGACATCTGGGGAAATAGTTTTCCAGGAAGAGGGAACAGCCAGTGCAAAGGCCTTAAGGCAAGGATATGTGAATGATATGCTCAAGGAATAGCAAGCAGGCCAGCGTGGCTAAGGCAGAATGAGCGATAGCCAGTGTAGTAGGAGATGACGTCATTTCCTACCCCTTTCCCAGTCAGGCATTCTGTAAATACACTACTACTCCTACCACCACCACCACCACCAACAACAACAACAACTGCAATGCTTTTCATTATTATTTTACTCGATTCCTTCTTTTGAGTGTATATTCCACAGGGAGCATGAAATTTGTTTTATTCATCACTGTGTTCTAGTGTCTAGAAGAATGTCTGTCTGGCACACAGTAGACTAAAAAAATTCTTGCTAACTAGATGAAAAAGATGCATAAATCCAAGTCACAGCTTGTTTTCCTTAACTGTTAAATGATAGCCAGGCATTAAGAGAATCAGCAGAAAAATTAACACGACAAAACTTAAAGCAGAACTATGTCATTAATCTACAACTTT